CTTTTAAGAAGAAATTAGTCTCACTACTTTATTGTCATGCTTTATATTTTGATATCTGAATTAGTTCTTGTCAGTTAATATTAATTGCTAATTCATGATAGAAAAATCAACTTAAAATATTAACTACTGGATTTATACACATGCTTCCTAAGACTATCTTAAAATATTTCAAAGTCAGATTTTGAAGTTTCAACTCTCTAGAAAAAAAAATTTGAGAAAATTAGAATATTTTATTCAGATTCTAGTTTTTAAACCATAGTTTAACATTTAACATTTCATTTAAACGTTCCTTATAAACCACAGTTCTCAGAACATACTTTCATTGCCAAACTCTCTCCAAGGGATGCAATATTCTCAGATTTTTTATCCAAACATGCTTGCAGGCATTCCTTTTCTTTAGCCAGATCATTGAGGGTTCCACCAAGAATGCTGATTTCTTCTCGCTGTGCAATATTTTGCCTTGTGAAATTATCTAAATATGCAATCATAAAAGTGTTGTTTTAATCGAAATAAATTTTTTTTCTATTTCAAGCAGATTATCGTACTTTTTGAAGTTCTCCTTACTTCTAATGTATTATATTCAATTACTAACAATGAGTGCTATATCCCAAATTGAAAAATGCTTTTTTGATTAAAAACTACAGTGAATTACAAAACTCTAAATGGTGCATAAACACAAAAGCACAATACCAATGAATTAGAATAGTGAAGAAAAGCTCTATATTGCAAGTTCTCAAAGTAGACTTACATGTATGATGGGAAAAGAGAGAGTGGGTGGATGAAGTAAGTGGAATATCAAAACAATCTGTGGCATTTCTCCCCTCTAGTTTCCCCTCCCCTCCCTCTAGCCTAGAAGCACTGTTGTATAAAAAGTTGGTAAGTAACAAATCTTAATAAAATATTCAATTAAGTCTTTAAAATAAAATGTCTTCTAATATTCTGATAGTTCTAAAATAGTGTTATAAAAATTGCCAGGAAAAAAAAAATCATCCCAGGAAGTATGATTCAATTTGTGAGAACTCTTGCAAGCCAGTGTCAGTGTTGAAGGCCTGAATGATTGGTATAGAAGAATAGTTTTCCAGTTGTGGTTTCTCAACCAGCACCATCAGCATCACCTGGGAAATGCACATTCTTAGGCCTCTACTCCAGACCTACTGAAACAGAAATTCTGGGGGTGGGCACAGCAATTTGTGTTTTAGAAACTCCTTCTTTCCCCAGTGATTCTAATGTATAATGAGGATTGAGAACCACTCGTCTAGAGTAGGGGTTCTAAGGTATTAGATTTACCTACAGAAACTGATAGAGACACAAAAGCTCTGGTCCTAGCCTACTTCAAGGAGGCTGGCTCCAGTGATCTTTATTAGCTCTCAAGGTTCTGACACAGATGAAAGTTTGAGAACCACCGGTCTAGAGCTCTACAAGGGAAGCTCTGTTAGACCAGACTTCAAGATTAATCCCTACTAGGTTAATACCTGTGAGGCCCATCCAGGAGCAGTGCTGAGGGAGATAATACCACATTGTCATATGCCAAAAACTTGATCTACATAGTACTGGAGAACACGCCACAACTCTTTTTGCAGGCAGTATTGCCTTTAAGGCAACCCACATGTTTCGTGTGTCCTGATATCTGATTCATTCCCACTGGCAATCAAACAATCAATACGTCTCTAAAATAACTCCAGTATCTCCTAGCTTGAAAAAATTATCAACCTAACAGCCCACTCAAACTATCACCCTATTTTCTTGCTACCCTTTAATAGCCAAACTTCTTGAGAGACTTCTATTCTTTTCTGTCCCGACTTCACTTCCCATTTATTCCTCAACCCACTCTATCTTCTACATCCAACACTCCATTCAAACGTTTATTTTTTGGTGTTACCAAATCTTCCCATGTGCCGAATCCAATCAATATTTTTTTTAGCCTCACTTATTTCATTTCTCAAAAGTGTCTGACAATTGATCATATCCTCCCCTTTTAAAAACACTTCGCTTTCTGGTCTTCCAAAATAACACTCACTTCTGGGTCTTCTTCCTACTTCTTTGGCTTCTTCTTACTCAGTCCTGGATCCTCTTCTCCTCATTCTCTACATTTCCCTAGGTAATTTCATGGTTTTAAAATATCATTTATATGCTGATGTGTCCCAAACATGTATCTTTCTCTTCTGAGACACAAATTTAAATATTCAACTGCTTACCTCAGATCTTTATTGGGACTTAAAATACCCAAATATGAGTTCTCCTTCAATATTACCTTTTATATTTCTGTTTTAATATTTCCTGGTTTGATACATAGTATCTCCACCTACCTAGTTGTTTATACCAGACATTCTTGAACTATATAATAGCATGTTAACAATATTTCCTCTACTTTAAAATAGGCTCTTTTATAGCCCTGACCAAAAATTTACCCTATAAGATTAAGTTATGACCATATTTTCATACTGATCACTAATAACAAACATAAATAGGAAACCTTAAAAAAGTTAACTTTCTCTACAAACCCCAGTAATATCATAGACATAACTAACCATATGTACACTTTCCACCAAAAGTAATATATAGATACTATGTTTCATTACAGCAGCTATGGACAAGCTACATTACACAAAAAATTCAAATTTAAGTTATCATAAGTTTACAAACAAATTTTAACTTTCACTAAGTACTTATGGTGCTAAATCTAAAAAATTTTGCTGTCAAAAAAATGAATTTTTCTATTATTTTTTATTCATAAACTTAGTTAAGGGCTTGTTTCCAAGTTTATCTATATTATACTGAAAAGAAGAAAACATATCTTTGCTACCAAACTTAAGAAAAACTAAAAGTAATATCAGGAGAAAAAAACTCACCAATTTTTTCATCCAAGCACATAATTTTCTCCTGAGTAAGCTGTAGCTCATATTTTTTCTTAGCAAGGTGTCGCTGAGTATCAGAAAGATCTTTTTCTGTGTTTTCATACAAAAGTCTGCAAATATTTTAATAATAAAACTAATTCTGAAATTTTTGTTTTGTCATTTTGGAGTGTGTTTAAATCTAAAAACTTTTAAGGACACTAATATACTTATTTCCTCTTAATATTGTTATACAGTTTTAATATTTTCATTACAAAACCAGGAAGTTTAAAAAATAAACGGTAAGAAGGGATCTTCAATCCACTACTCCAATATAAGCTACTATTAGCATTTTGGTAATACTACCTTCCCTAGGTGTCCTAATGCCAAATCAGAGCAATCAGATTAGTAACTCTTATGTTAGCTATGGTTGGGGTTTGTCTGTCTCAACAGCCTCGGGTTTCATGTTTTAATTCAGATAACGAGAGGAGGCCATAGAGGTGTCTGCAATACAAGAAATAGAACTGAGGTGTCCCATGTAAATACAGAGCGACATACCATCAGTGAGAAGGTCGAACTAGAGAAAAACACCTTGTCAATTGCTGCTAGGCTCAGGAAAATAATAACAACAAAGAATCTTCATCTCAATCTAAAACATCAAAATAAAATTTGGTTCCTGATTGGTCATATAATCAGGAACCCCTCACAAAACTCCAGAGGCATGCTCTCAACCCAAGCACAGAACTAAACCCCAGACAAAAGCCTATGGAAAATGATCTCATAATTCAAAATTTAAAAATACATCAAGAAACAATCCAACCTTAGTGGGAGTCAAAAGACACACAAACTAAATTAGATCCCTAAGAACTTCAGACTACAGCACTATCAAATAGAAACTTAGAAATACATGTGTTTTAAATACAAACACATAAGTAATAGCATATATTAAAAAATCAACACATTTGGAAAAGAACCACATAGAACTTCACAAAGTTAAACTAATATCAAAATTTTAAAGATTACAAAACTCAGTGGACAAGTTAAAAATACAGAATAGACACTGCCAAAGAGATAACTGGTAAACTGGGGGGAAAAAACAGATCAGAGGTCCTATATTAGAGCACAAATAAAACAATGAAAAAATACAAAATAAAGGTTAACAGACATAAAAGACAGAATAAGAAGTTCCAATATTTACCAAATCAAAATCCCAGTAGGGAAGAATAAAGACAATATTCAACAAAAATAATAGCTAATAAAAGATGACATCCAAGACTAAAGAGGTATTAATCTGTATCTATTAAGACAATTATAAATGGGGGAGGATAAAAGGACTTAAAAGGAGGCAAGATTTCTATACTTTATTCAAACTGGTAAAATGTGACACCAGTGGATGGTGATAAGTAAGGGCAATTCACAGAGCAACCACTGAAAAGTCTATAGACACTCAAAAATACTACAGATATCAAAAATGGGATTCTAAAAAATGTCAAGTAATCCATGAAAAGGCATGAAAACAAAAACAGAGACATGACAAACAGAGGAAAGAAACAAACGAAAAACATCCCCAAAAACTAACATGGAGAATTGAGCCCTACCAATAATTATATTAAATGCATATGCTCCACCTTATTTTTAACAGCCATAACCTGGAAACAATGAAACTGTCCCTCACCAGGTGAATCGCTGAACAAATTATGGTACATTCATACTATGGAATGTTACTCAGCAATATTAAAAAGTAGCAAAATTTAATACTCGGCTGGATCTCAATGGCAAGCAAATCTTGAAAATCACATCTGTATGATTCTATTCCTACAACATTCTTGAAATGACAAAATTACAGAGTTGGAAAACAGATTAGTGTCAGATATTAGGGATCGTGATTGGGGAAGAGGAGATGTGACTGTAACGGAGTAGCATGAGGGATATTTTTGTGGTAACAGACTTTTTGTGTCTCGAATGTGGTAGTAGTTACATGAAACTACATATGTGATAAAATGACAGAACTGTGCAGAACTATGCACAGACATTGTACCAATGTCAATTTTCTGGCTTTGATACTGTACTATAGTGATACAAAATGTAGTCATTATGGGAAAGTGGGTGAAGGGTATACATCAACTTCTCTGTGTATTTTTGCAACTTCCTCCAAATTATGAAATTATTTTAAAGCAGTAAAACAAAAAAAAGTCCTAGATTTAGGCTGCACAATTCCGCCAATTAAATTAAAATACCTGGGAATGAGAATCAACCTCACTATTGTTTTTTAAAGTTCCTCTTTTGGTTCTAATATGCAGCCAAGGCTGTTAAGGAATGCACCTGCTATGGTTTGGATGTGTGTCCCCTCCAAATCTCATGTTGAAATGTGCTTCCCAATGTTGGAAGTGGGGCCTGGGGAGAGATGATTGGATCATGGGGGCAGGTCCTTCATGATGGTTTAACACTATCCCCTTGCTGATAAGTGAGTTCTCACTAGTTAGTTCACATGAGATCTGACTATTCAAAGAAGTCTGGGACCTCCCCTTTTCTCTTGCTCCTGCCCTTGTCATGTGATGCACTGGCTCCCGCTTTGCTTTTGCTTACCACCAAGATGGTAAGCTGTATCGGGCCCTCACCAAAAGCAAATGCCAGCACCACGCTTCCTGTACAGCCTGCAGAACCATGAGCTAAAATAAATTTCTTTTCTTTTAAGATTACCCACACTCAGGTATTTCTTTATGGCAACACAAGAATAGACTAATGGAGACTCCTGATGTCTCTTCATCCAGGGGAGCAACGGGTGAAAAATTAACAAAGCAGGTGTATATGAGGCAGAAAGTGATAGTGGTTTTATGGCATCAGCGTGTCTCCAATCCCCCATACCATAAACTCAAAGAGGCTGACATTTTTAGTCACCCAAAAGCATTGTTTTACACAATAACTTATATCTCCATGGGAAAATCTGTTCCAGGGCCAAAACTGTAAGACATTTGAGAAGGCCAGTCATTTAAAAATGAAACAAAACAAAACACACTGATTACAAAATCACGCAGAAGCAGGTATATTAGAATAAATGCATCCAGGCCAGGAGTGGTGGCTCATGCCTGTAATCCCAGCACTTTGGGAGGTCGAGGCGGGCAGATCATGAGGTCAGGAGTTCAAGACCAGCCTAACCAATATGGTGAAACCCCGTCTCTACTAAAAATACAAAAATTAGCCGGACATGGTGGTGTGTGCCTGCAATCCTAGCTACTCAGGAGGCTGAGGCAGGAGAATCGCTTGAATCTGGGAGACGGAGGCTGCAGTGAGTTGAGATCGCACCACTGCACTCCAGCCTGAGTGACAGAGTAAGACTCTGTCTCAAAATTAATTAATTAATCTAAAAAATGCATCCAAAAAATTAATTAGCCCCAAAAAAAATTAAAAGAAAGGAGAAGCCAGGCATGATGGCTCATGCCTGTAGTCCTAGCACTTTGGGAGGCCAATGTGGAAGGATCACTTGAGGCTGGAAGATCAAGACCAGCCTGGGCAACACAGGAAGACCCTGTCTCTACAAAAAATTTTTTAAAAATTAGTCAAGTACGGTGGCACATGTCTGTGGTCCCAGCTACTTGGGAGGCTGAGGCAAGAGAATCACTTGTGCCTGAGAGGTCAAGGCCGCAGTGAGCTATGATTATGCCACTATACTCCAGCCTGAGCAACAGAGGGCGATCCTGTCTTAAAAAAAAAAAAAAAAACTAGTATTTTTTTTCTGGAGTTCCAGAAAAACTTAAAAAACTAAATAAAAGACACTGCTAGATATTATCAATATGAAAAAAGATAGGGAAAATGGAACAAATAACAGTCATGAGAAAATGTAGTAGATGAAGTTAAAAATATATATGGTGTAACACTTGATAAATGAATTAGCACACTGACAACAAATTGAAGAAATTTTAGTAGAAGGATAAACAAATAGAAAACAAGAAATAAATTTAGAGGACTTACCACTATTTGAGACTAGTACACTATTCAAGACGGATTGGCATCAGTATAAGGATCAACACATAGACTAGTAAAGCAGAATACAGAACACAGAAATAGACCACGGATATACGGTCAATCAATTTTCAATAAAAACATCAAAGCAATCCAATGGGGAAAGGAAACAACTGGTGCTAAAACAACTGCATTACCCTGAGGGATGAAATATTCTGCACGACAAACACCCATGACAGGGGTTTACCTACATAACAAACCTGTACACGTACCCCTGAACTTAAAAGTTGGAAAGTAAAATAAAATGAACAAAAGCAAACCAAAAAAAACCCAATTGTATTGTTGTATGGAAAAAAAAGAACTCTGACCACTACATGACACCATACACAAAAAACTTAACCATAAAATGTAAAATTACAATGCTTTTGGAGAAAGCATAAACATATATGTTAAAAGTTTTAACCAATCATAGCAATCAAATCCAAGAAAATTAGAATGTACTATGACCAAGTGGGGTTTACCCAGGAATGCCAGATTGGTTTACAATTTGAAAATTAAAAATTAATCATTAATAACTCATATTAACAGACTGAGAAAGAAAAAATTATGATATCAACAGATGCAGAATAAGCATTTGACAAAATCCAATATCCATCCTTAATAAGAACACCCAGCAAACTACAAATAGAAGACACCTTTTCCAATCTCATAATAGACATCTACAAAAAGCTTATAGCTGACATTACAAAGACGAAAGGCTGAATTGCTTTCCTTCCAAAATCAGGAACAAAACAAAGATGACTGTTCTCATTCTTCTGTTCAACACTGCACCAGAGTTTCTATCAAGTAAATAAGGAAAGAAAAAGAAACACAAGGCATTAATATTAGAAAAGAAGCAAAACTCTTTATTCACAGGTGACATGATAATCTACACAGGAAATCCTACAAAATCTACCAAAAAACTGAGGCTAGATGTTCAAGGCCATCCTGGACAACATAGCAAGACCCTATGCACGCTGGCTCATGCCTGTAATCCCCGCACTTCGGGAGGTCCAGGCAGGCGAATCACAAGGTCAGGAGATTGAGACCATCCTGGCTAACACAGTGAAACTCC